CCAGTGGTGTTCCTACACCCGTACGCTCAGGCGTGGAGTTATATTACAACCCACAAGCACTGCTCTGCCAGGCGTCATAGGGTTCGTCGACCTGCCTATCCTGGGGCGCCTCCGCATGCACGCACTCCCAACCTCAGCACCCCAACGCGGACACCCCCTCCCTAACCCCAGCACCCCAACGCGGACACCCCTTCCTAACCCCAGCACCCCAACGCGGACACCCCTCCCTAACCCCAGCACCCCAACGCGGACACCCTTTCCTAACCCCAGCACCCCAACGCGGACCCCCCTCCCTAACCCCAGCACCCCAACGCGGACACCCTTTCCTAACCCCAGCACCCCAACGCGGACCCCCCTCCCCAGCACCCCAACGCGGACACCCCTCCCCAACCCCAGCACCCCAACGTGGACACCCCTCCCCAACCCCAGCACCCCAACGCGGACACCCCCTCCCCAACCCCAGCACCCCAACGCGGACACCCCCTCCCCAACCCCAGCACCCCAACGCGGACACCCCCTCCCCAACCCCAGCACCCCAACGTGGACACCCCTCCCCAACCCCAGCACCCCAACGCGGACACCCCCTCCCCAACCCCAGCACCCCAACGTGGACACCCCCTCCCCAACCCCAGCACCCCAACGCGGACACCCCCTCCCCAACCCCAGCACCCCAACGCGGACACCCCCTCCCCAACCCCAGCACCCCAACGCGGACACCCCCTCCCCAACCCCAGCACCCCAACGCGGACACCCCCTCCCCAACCCCAGCACCCCAACGCGGACACCCCCTCCCCAACCCCAGCACCCCAACGCGGACACCCCCTCCCCAACCCCAGCACCCCAACGCGGACACCCCTCCCTAACCCCAGCACCCCAACGCGGACACCCCCTCCCCCCAACAAACTCCCACCTTTTTTTATTTCACGATTCTCGAGCAGTGAGTCATAACTGTACATTCTGAAATATACAGCATTACCCCCTCTTGAACGTGGCCACTACAAAGTGGTATAGATAGTCGTGTTAAGAGAGGAGCGAGAGGGCGACGTATGCAGGTAGCAAGGAATAGCGGTGCTTGTTCGCCCACCAGTCTCAACGCTCTCAACGGTCGTTTACATCAAAGCCTTATGCAAGGCGTCACACACACACTCACACACTCTTCTTCAGTTATTTGGTACTTCGTCTTTCACATGCTGTACTTCAGGTTATTTTAATAAGGCATCAGTAAACCAAAAAAAAATGCATGTACTAAGTCTTTTCTTCAAAAGCCTATCTAGCAAGTTTCAATGCGAGTGTAAATCGCGAAAATTAACAAGTGATGAAAAATGTGACAGTCAGACCACGGAGGAAGAATTGAAAGACGAATTTCCTTAAGGACTTTCGTATATTAATACATCTTCAGAAGGAATGAATGAAGGAAAGAAAGTTTCAATGTCTTTGGTTCATGGTTGTATTTCGCTACATTTGACGACAGAGCGAGCGGCAAGTATTATCTTCGACCTACATATGACAGACATCTTTGACAAGTCTACAGACATTACGCCTCCGTGAGTCACCAGTCATGACCGTCTCAAAATAAATTTAGGTCAGTGGCTGGACATGTTGGGCGGCTTGTGTAACGTTCCTGGCGGTGTGCTGGCCATGATGTTGCCGATATATTGCTTTCTAGTCGACTCCTCTTTATTACTCTGCAAGGTTATCGCGCACCCGGGTCCTTACATCAATTGGAATTTGTATCTCATTAAACGGTTTAACTTTCTACGTTGAAATGAGGTGATGCATGGCGATCATGCAAGCTATTATACCCTCATGTTTCAGGTTTGATATTGGGCCGAAGGCCTATCAACCGCTGGAAGGGGGTGGGTTATTAAGGCCACCATAATAGCATACTGATTAATCAAGTATACTTAATTGCGAACTTTGTTCATGACTAATGGGATATCCCCCTACGTGTACATGTGCCTTGTAACCAGAGCCTAGGACTAGTCATAGTTGAAGACAACTGGTAGGTGGCAAGACACTCTTGTTACCTATTTAATCGTTTGACAATGTCTTAAACTAGATATATCGTCTCAACGTAATGATTGCAGGGATTTTGTGAGTCATAATGCAAGTGATTCCCCCACCTGGGTGGATGATGAAGAGGAGGGGGGGGGGGGGGGGGGGACGAGACACACACAGAGGGGGGGGGGGGACGAGACACACACAGAGGGGGGGGGGGACGAGACACACACAGAGGGGGGGGACGAGACACACACAGAGGGGGGGGGGACGAGACACACAGAGGGGGGGGGGGGACGAGACACACACAGAGGGGGGGGGGAGACACACACAGAGGGGGGGGACGAGACACACACAGGGGGGGGGGGGGGGGAGAGAGACAGGGGGGGGGGGGGGGACGAGAGAGAGACGGGGGGGGGGGGCGGTAAACTGGTCCTGTCCCGCCAAACCCGTTATTGCACCATTGACCGACCCATGTTGTATTTTGCGCGCGCACGCTTCCGCCCAAATATCGAATTGCAGAACCCCCCCCTCCCCCGTCATGAAACAAACTATTATATAAAACTGAAGCCCTTTGCATTGTTTAAGGCTACACAAATCAAAATTGTCGTGTACATATCTATTTTAAACATTCCGTGTTTATCTTTAGTAGTACAATTGGGTTCGTTCTCTACGTACAAGCTGGAATTCCGGGTTCGAATCCTGGGCAGGGCAGAAATGGTTTGCCACAGTCCATTTCACCTAATGCCTCTGTTCACCTAACAGGAAGTAGGTATTCAGGAGTCGGCTTGTTGTGGGGTTGCATCCTGCAGTCCGTCCTTGCATACAAAGATCCAAGCTCGTTAATAAAGCCGCCAAACCCCTTGTTTGTGAATGAAAAGCGGTTTACACACGACTACTGATGACGTTCGAACACTTACGGAACAAGTGCTTCGCTCACGATCTCTGTTCGAACCACAATCCTATATAAGAACATAAGAACATAAGAACAAAGGTAACTGCAGAAGGCCTATTGGCCCATTCGAACAAGTGCTTCGCTCACGATCTCTGTTCGAACCACAATCCTATAAATGCTTCACTCACGTGCTTCAACTACAAATCATCGCCAACAGAACCTAAACTCCTAGCCTACGCATAACTATACACAAAAATTTTATGTAAATGATAATACTTACATGTTTGTTTGCACACGCGCGATCTTGTGCGCTCGCCGAGTCGATTTGAGAGTCGAGCTTCAGCTCCTAGTTTCTTGCATGCATTCAAAAAATGATGTAGGTGAAAGTTGGTTCTTAAGAATAAGCGAAGAGTTAGGGATGACATGATAGAGGTTTATAAGTGGATGAATGGACTTAAAGGGGATATTAATAGGGTATTAAAAGTATCAACACAAGACAAACAGAACACGAAACAATGGATATAAATTGGACAAGTTTAGATTTAGGAAAGACTTGGGTAAATATTAGTTCGGTAACAGGGTTGTTGATTTGTGAAACCAATTACCGCGTAACGTGGTGGTGAGGTCCTTCGATCGTTTCAAACGTGGGTTGGACATGTATGTGAGTGGGATTGGGAGTGCAGTTACCTTTGGTCTTATGTTCTGCCCTAGTTCACACCATTCACTTATCTCATACCGAAGAACTACGTCAGCTGTTATGTGGGCGAATGTCATTGACACCAAGAAGTAAAATATCGATTAATTGACATTTTAATTAGTTTGACCGATGTGTTGAATGTTTATATTAATCTTGTTTAATTTTGGTGAAAGTGAGTCAAGGTCACCCACTCCCTCACCTTCACATGGTGGTTTTGTGCTCTGATGAACACTTTCTAGCCGCTCACTGTTATCTAACGCTCTGATGTTCAATCATATTGACGGGAGACATCTCCCGTCACGCAGGGTGCAGTTGCACCTCCACAGATCTCCAGTATCAGCTCTTGATACTGGTAATGGCTCAAAAGGGCCACCACTTACGGGCTATTCATGCCCGTGCCACCTTTTGGGTGGCTTAATCTTCATCAATCAATCATATTGATGGGCCATCCCATGACTGCCGTCTTCCCTGATAACTTGCATCAAGGTCTCTGTTACAAATCCACATGATGCAGGCACGAATCCGTGACGAGGATTCGTACCCGCATCTAAGAGCATCCGCGACGCTGCCTTAATCGACTTTGTTCATTTGATACATCACGCTATTGTGATTTCTGTGTGTAAGGTCTCTTGTCCCCCCCCCCCCCCTTTCGACAGTTTCATCTTTTAGCTAATCTGAGGAAAACCCGAGAAAGTTTACACGGTGAACGTAGACCACAACAGAACAGTGACCTCGTGTGTGGCCGACGATTCACAACCACATACTGTACATTAACTGGTTTAAGCAGAGTTTAAGAACCGTTGGTTTAGTACAGTACGAGAAATACACGCTCGTATAACTTACGTCTATGTAGGTCATACAAGGATATAATTAAGCTCGTATAACCTATGTAGGTTATAGTGTCAAGATACTGGTGCTCACAGTGCTCACACTGCTTCTAGGCTTGTAATTATCAAAAAGCGCCAAGCCAGGAAGCTAGGCATTCGTGTCACAATATTACAGTTCATGGATGCCATTCTGGATGTCAATAAGAGCAGAACGACTCTAGAGGAATCTTTGACACCCGTGAGTACTGTCGCCAGGTTAACCAAGAATGTTGACTACATCTAGAGACCAACGACACGCTACGTACTTTATTTGAATACAGTGAAGTAAACAAAATATACATAGTAGTAAGGAATGTTTTAAGTAGTTTTAAAGTAAAAATAATAGTCCCTTACATATAATAAAGTGTGAAAGCAATGCAAAACTGTCTGCACAAAAAGTAACTTAACTCTCCGGTAAACAGCATCCTTCACAGTACATAGCTCACGAAACAAAATCCAGTAACATATTCAGATAGTAATATTATCGTTTTATCTTGGCAACTTTATCAGCGATAATCTGTGTGTGTGAGCATTAGTCACCATTGTCATTGTTAGTGTGCACGAGGCCGAGGCGAGAGTGGCAACACCGTCACACTACCAGGACCCCACTAACAACTGCACTCCAGCGTCACACCCGACAGTTCGATCCCAGCGTCCTACACACACCTCGCCACAACAATCTGAACATTTCCTACAAGGCAGGTGAACCTTTAAGTTTCATAACAAATAATTGGAGAGGGGCCAAATCTAGACCTTGCGACGTAGGCAACTATAAGCTTTTCAAAATTGCATTTACAAAACATGACCGATTAACCTGTGACTAATACATGGTCCAAAGACCTATATCCCAATAAATTATTGGACAACAGATGTAATTCTACTGTTGCTCGTAAACGTACAACCATGATAAACTTTCCCTAGATTGCTTACTTTACTTCATCATATTGTCATTATCTGTAGCCTATTGTTGTGACAATCGCCTCTAAATTCCCGAGAATGGTTGTCAATCTTTCTTGGCCAAGTGAGAAATTTGCGATCAAGAGCACTGAACATATATTTGAAGCATTGAACGATTTATCAAGAGTATTTAAGTTAAATTCTATTAAAAGGAATTGAACGAGGCATGACCCGAGGTATACATTGGGTGAAAACCAAACAAAGGTGATCATTTCAGAATCTTATTTGTAGGCTATTACACAAGAGCTATAATAAGTCACCTTTTAGGATTTTTTAAATTTATAGTTGAAATACGATAACTAATTATCACCGATAAATATTTGTAAACAAGAAAGTATTCAGAAGTAATTATCAAAAGAAGGTACCAAGCCGGGAAGGCTATGTAGTACAACCCGTCCTCGACTCAAGTCCATTACATTCAGCGGTCAACCCCACAGACGCATTCATATATTTTAACATGCTGTTCATTCAAAACGGGAATTTTCTCAAGTATAAATTAATATTATAATATATTGGCATATTGTGCATATATAGGCATAGGTTAGGTTAGGTGTTTAGGTTCTGTTGGTGATTATTTGTATTTGTAGTACGTGGGTGAAGCATTTATAGCGTTGTGGTTCGAACAAAATTCGTCAGTGAAGCACTTGTTCCGGATATGTTCGAACGTCAGCAGTTGTGAGTCGTGTGTAAACCGCTTTTCATTCATAAACAGGGGGTTTGGCGGGTGCATGGAATCACTTTTAGGTCTTTGTCTGAAAACGTGTGCACGTGTAAAACTATATGCAACCCATTCTCTTGATAGCACGTAGCATTTTGACGAATGCGACATCCTTACTTTTGGTCTTTACCAAAGACCAAAAGCTGTCGTACTAGAAAATGATAACGGTTCACAATATTGACACTGTCCCGCTTTCTGTTCGAGGGGGATCCTCTGGTAGGTTAGGATAAGTCACTTCAGTAAGAGTTTCTTGACTTTGGGAAGGCTCGCGAGAACGGGCTGCAATATGACAAAGCCCCGTTGGTACACTTAGTGTCTGGCACCGGACCCACGTGGTGAGGAAATTTCCGTTGCGCTCTTTGGATACAAGATAACGTAACACTACAACCGAACATAACTTGTGCATTCGGTCAGAAAAAGAAAAACCACTTAGTTACAACGAAAACATGTACGATACCGAAAATAGAATTGGACATTATGGTACAGAATATTTAGAAGGAACAATCACTTTTTTCTCAGATGCATTCCAAAAATTATGTAGGTGAAAGCTGGTTCAGCAGTCAGGTTGTTGACGTACAAAAACTAAAATATATGAGCGAAGTCAACACCCTGGTGAAGTTTAAGTACATGAGGCTAGAGATGCAAGAATGAAAACTTAAGCCAACAGTACCTGCCTAGCCCTGGATAATGGACCTGTTGCAATGTTAATTTAATGTCTTGTATACCCAATATATACCAAATATAATATACCAAATACCCATCACATGAGCAGTGTCTGAGGGGTTACAACGTTTCACAATAGGTTCAGGAGCCGAATCCCAATATTATATTTTTTAAGCGAAGTAGTTTACACAGTGGTCAGCCTCAAGCATTTACTCAACCATTTTCCAACAAACCTGGTGGTAACCAAAGGTCATTATTGTTATAAATACTCGAAGCGCTTGGCAACTCACTTATATAAAATATATCAGCCCGCCGTTAACAAAGGACAAAATGTTCATGCCATGCAGCCACCAAACCTGTTTATGAATGGAAAACTTTATACACGACTCAACTGATGACGTTCGAACACTTCCAGAACAAATACTTCACTGACGAATTTTGTTTGAACCACAAGACTGTAAATGCTTCACCCACGTACTACAAATACAAATAATCGCCAAGAGCCTAAACACCAAACCTAACCAGTACCCAAAATATGCTAATATATAATAGTTTATATTTAAGAAAAGTTCTGTTTTGAATGAACCGTGTTAAAATTGTTGAATGCGTCTTTGGGGTCGACCGCTGGATAGAATGGACTTTGATGATTGGTTGGGATTAAAGAGCATTTGGCTTTTGTCGAGGACCGGCTGGATTATTGTCTGATCTATTTTGTTCGCTGGGGGATTTGTCAAAATGCTGTGAATTAATCAAGAGTTAAGGTTGCTGAGGAAGTATTCCAGTTTATGACCAGCCCTCCCCGCCCCCCCCACACACACAAGTTTTATCTTTGTCTATTCTGATTTCTCAACTGTAGGGGCAAAACTATCCGGCTCTTTGTTCTCACAGCCTCCAGATTCTTGTCACAGTTCGTGTAGCACCCGGCTTCTTCCTCTGCCATGACCGGCTGCCATCTGGCGCTATGGTTTGTCGCACAAGGACCTCCCCTCCGTTAGCTTTCATGTCCCGAATCTACATCCGTCTTGGGAACTGCACAGCTGCTCCTGGCAGTCATTTCTCAGCAACTGGTCCGCTTTCTCGTTGTCGTCGTGGGAAGGAACACACTGATCATATTGCTATTACGAGTGCTCTAGGTAAATAGTTATCAATCCTTCGGGTTATGTTCTCTTAAATTTCTGTCATCCTAGGAGCGTGTATGGCAGTCCTAGAGTCCTCGTGGAAAAGGTATATCAAATGTAGTATTTGCTTCACGTGTTGCAGTGTCTCGTATTGTTGAAGCTTCTTCAACTCTGTAATCCTGGACACGCCCGCGCCTTGACAAGTTTCCTTCCTAGCAACAAAACCTCAGTTAAGCTTCCTGTTCCTTACTAAAAACTGCGTTGAAACGTAATACCGCCGAGCTTTATATATATATTTTAATTTTCCATACTTTTAAGATAATCAAACCCTAAACTAGAACCCACAGGGGGGTCACAGCATCTAGTTATTACGTTAGTGATAGCATTAAACAACATAAAAGGTTAAATATGATAAGGAGGCCAAGGTTATGCGCCCGGGATGGTTTTGCCCCGTTGCTGAATTAAGAGACTTGTTTAAGCTGTTGTTAAGAAGCTGAACCTTATTGTGATTAAAAGATGAAAGACACTTATTCTGTCACGGCACAAGGTATTCTAGGCTATGTTGCCTCTTGGCATAAAAAGGTAACTGAAGGTCTGTCGCGTTTGTGTACCTCTGTGACAAAGACCAACTCCTGTATTTAAGCCCGGAAACTAACAATTATTAGTTTTTACACATTTTATAAGCGAAGTATTCTTACCCATCAGTGCTGGTGGGAGCGGCACCATCTACACTATACTAACAGTTTTGGTGGACACGATACAATATTTTGGTCACAATTGATTCTTAACTGGCACTTAGCGTCTCGCAACACTTCCCATAGGTTGTGTGACGGCATACAACAGTACACCTCCAAGGTGAATTAGCCAGACGCCTCGTAAGGTGTCCCACCTTTCCTCGTCGGCAAGGGAGTTTATACAAGCTATAATGCTTGTGCTATATAGCTAAATTGGCCTAGATCTTTACTAATTTTATAATATCTATTGAGTAACAAATGCGGCCCTTGACAAATAATTATCACTCCCATTATTTGTGACCCTGAATACCTTTTACAGACTACTGCATTTGTAAATGAAGTCAAGTGATGTATTAACCCAGTTAAACCCAAGAGCAAAGATTTTTTACTTTAATAGCTCACTAAACAACCTGTATCTCAATCATGCTTAACTATTACAACTGGATGGCTTCAGTTCATTGAAAGCACAAAAACAGTGACTTTCTCAATTTTCGGAACAAAGTAATGCCACTCGACAAGACATGGAATTTTTGTCATCACAGATTAGAGATTTCCTGCAATGATTATTGCACATAGCAATGGTCTTGCTATTGATCAAGAGACTGTCAGTGCAAATAAATATTTAGTTTCATTGCATTATACATCAGAACTTGTGTTCCAAAAATTTTAGCTTGTGAAAACAAAGGATGATACAGCTTCAACTATTTGAGTATCCCCTAGAATTTCACGTTAAAGAAAACTTACGGCCGACCGTATACAAGAGTTAACCAGACATTATATTTTAAATCATCGATTAATAAAAAAAAATAACTTTAGAATAATCTCTGTTTAGGACAAAGGTTCACTTGCAAGTTTACAAGTATTACTGGAACTGTAACATGCTTTTAGACTATCACAAATATCAAAATTATGCAGGTGTACGAGAGGGGGGTTGACGTCTCGTTCTAATCACTTGTCCTTGAGAACAGCTAGGCTGCTGTGATATTAGCGCCTCTTCCTAGTAATACATTCACTAGTGTACACGTTATTCAACTACTGGACATCAATACGAAATTCTTAAGCATTTTCGTAAGAGATCAGTATGGAATCATTGTGGTCTGCCGCTGGATATTCTCGTGGCAAACTTGAGTCAACAGTGAATGGACTGTAGGCGCCATGACTGAGTTTAAAGTAGTGTAAAATCCTAGTTTATTTTTCCTCTGTTGTAATAAGGTCTACATTGTTGCCGATGTTTCTTGCTACACACTTCCATTACGTTTGTACAGTATTTGTTATGCTGATCTTTTTGGATTTGTTTACTGGTTCACTGAAAGTATACTAGAATTTTTTTTTTAGTAAATAGACCATATAATTAGTTTTGTTACTTTAGGCTTGTTTCTAGGTCTCTCCCCAAGGTCGAACTACTGACCCTTCCCAGGACGCAGCCCCACAACATGGGGCTCTGAAAAAGGTCAGAGGTATGCCACTAGGCTAGTCCCAGAACTAAGTGGCATGAGTTACGAGGAAAGGCTGCGTGAAATGCACCTCACGTCGCTGGAAGAGAAGAGCTCGGTGAGACATGATCACCACATACAAAATTCTCGGGAATTGACGGGGTAGACAAGGATGGATGATTTAACATGGGTGGTACACACAAAGGGGGGGGGGGAAGCAGGTGGAAGCCGAGTACCCAAATGAGTCACAGACCTGTCACAGATCCTATCACAGACAAAGAACTTTTAAAGTGTTAGTAGTTAGTAAATGAAATGCACTAGGAAGTGATGTGGTGGAGGCAGACTCCATGCACAGTTTCAAATGTAGATATGATGGAACTCTAACAGCTGAGGAATCTGTACACCAGTAGATTGACGGTTGAGAGGCGGGACCAAAAAGCCAAAGCTCAATCCCCGCATGCACAACTAGGCGAGTACAAGTTGCCTCCTAACTCCAGAATACCTATTTACTGTTAGATAAACAGAGGCATTAGGTGAAAGGAAACTTGTCCACATTTCTGTCCCACCTTTGGAATCGAACTCTATCCCTGATTGAGAGTAGAGAACGAAGCCAACTGTACTACGAGACCCCTATAAATGCAGTCAACTTTACTGAAAATTAGACACCCAGAATGTGTGGGTTAGGTGTTCCGAAGAGCTTCACAATATATTTTAGCCGCGCAATAAAATTCATGTACAGTACTCCAAATACCGCGTGTAACGTAAGTAGGCTTCAAGGCTCGCTACACCAACACCGCAATGCTCTACACACTAGTGGTTCACAAAAGAGAACCAAGTTGCTAACATCCATCCTGTACATCCTGTCACATCATCCCGTCCTCTAGTTGCCATATCTGACGGAAAAGGGTAGACTAAAACGATTGAACCTAACTTAACCTATTGCCCATGCATACAAAATTTGCATATTTGAGTCGCTATGACTTATAACACCCCTTTATTTGTCCGTTCGGAATTTTGATCAAAATGTTGTGTACAATTATGCGAGAGGACAGGTTGGGTCTACTTCAAAATTTTGAAATAAATTTCATGTCAAACTTTTGATGTCCACTGTAGTCTATATATGAAAAGTTCATAAAGTTACAAAAAATATTATATATATTTAGAGTATTCACGGGACAGGGCCATGATGGCCTTTACAACTTGTGTGGGACTTTGTGCTTCTGAAGTTCACATTATGGCTCTTGCTTGTTGCACAGTCGTTAGCATGCGGGACGAACCATTCCAGAACCAAGTTCGATTTCTACATGTAGTCTAAATTTCGATGCACCATATACGAGTGCAAAGAATTGGAGCGATCCTGTTAAAACACAATATGAATACCTGGTAATTACTATATCAATTTACCAGCTTCTATATATAATATCCAGGTCATGTCTTGCCATCTACCGCGTAAGTAAGGAGCTTGCCTACTACCATCTCTCAAGTGACAACTATGAAAGTCAGTATGTCTAAGTCTACTGTTATTATTTTAGATTATTGGCGTCTTCTCAAGTATGACCCCCAGGAATAACCCTCTAGATTATTTTTGGCAGCCCTGCATATGAATATTGTCTTACCCCTCCTAATTATGCTTAGGTTCTATGGATCTTTTAGTCAGACTATCTTTTAAAATACGGACGCGCATCTACTTTTTAGATCTAAAAAAACACACTTCCCATAAAACACCTGGCGACGTGACATTGCTGGCGCCAGACATTTGAAGGTCACAGTGATCCACCGATACGGACTGCTCGCTACCAGAAACCCTGACGCACTCTACGCAACCCAACACACAACCATTTGCTACAATAAACACTATTGAAGGACACCTTTATAAAAGCAATTATCCCGAGCAAGTGCTGGTTTAGTAAGGGTGGTGTCGTGTGGTCATGGGAGGTTAATCGTACAAAAAACTTTCGTCGACTGCACAATCAATTTAGCAATAAACATTACCCAGTGCTTCAGCGAGCGAGCGCGCATACGCGCAGTTAGATTTTCCTGCCCACCTAACCTACCAGAGGACCCTTTATTTACCGTTTTGGAAAAAATCCATTTTTTTTAAATTTTCAAATTACGTCCATTTTCGGCCATACGACCAAATTCAGACAATTTTTAAGACTTATCGCCTATATCTACACGCGTTTTTGACTAATCGTTAGGCTAGTGGCAAACTTTTGTATTTGCTATATATATTTTTTGATAACTTTACGACATGATGCATTTTCAGTACCAGATTGATTGAATCCGATGTACGTGAAAACCACAAGAATGGACCACATTATACCCCTATGAATGTAGATTTGTACTAGGTTCAAACGATAAGGAAAGGTTAGTGTTAAATCGACCCTCCCTACTAACCAGGCCGAAATCTTTCGTGGAATCATGGGAACTATATTAATACACGATGCAGAGTTCATTGATTGCGAACATTCGTTGATTACACCGTAACAACGAGGGCATCGATCGGTGCTATACCTGCAGGACTAAAAATCTAACAGTGGGCTTTGAAACCTCACGATCTCTCAACATTACTTGCGTCGCCTGTAACTATTTATGACATGAAGGCATTTCTTAACATCGGCATCCGCCGGCGTTATTATTGAACGACACCGGCATTCCTTTGAACTAAAGCAAATAACCATCCCCCAATTTTACGTAGAGACTGCCGGCCCTTCCAACTATAATTCACCTATAGGTTCATTATATGCTTTTGCAGTCATTACGTAGTTTCTCCTTTAACTGTCCAGCCCAAGTAGAATAGAGCGACAGTCTGCTTCATGCAAGTCGGCGTTCAATCCCCGACCGTCCAAGTGGTTGGGCACCATTCTTTCCCCCCGTCCCATCCCAAATCCTTATCCTGACCGATTGATTGATTGATGAAAATTAAGCCACCCAAGAGGTGGCACGGGCACGAGTAGCCCGTAAGTGGAAAGAAACCTACAACCAAATCAGCTGCTGTATACTTGGGTGGGTTTTTGGCTCCCACACTTCTGTTTTGCCCAAATGCCAGCGTGTATAGGTTAAAAGTCAATATGACTTATTTTAACATGTAATTTTGTAGACAATGAGGATAAATTGGACTGGGTTAACTGTCTTAACATCTTACTTTTAGGAGATTGTTACAGTAAAACATCAGGATTAGGTTATCCAAGTATAATGGCATAATAACTAGGCCAATCCTTCCAGGTGTACAGTTATCCCATCGCTCCTACATTGATTATAGTAGGCCAGCGAAAAATGTCACCAGCTAATTATATAAAAAAAAGCAAAAAATTCAAAATAAACTAAAATGGAGAAAATTTTAAAATTGCATATACAATTACCTATAACATATATATACATATATAAATATATATAATATAATATTCCCATTCTTATATATACAAGATAAAATAAGTAAGCTCGATAAAATGAACTTACGATATACAATTTAATTTCTCATTGTCAATAAAGATGAAGCTTGATAGACTTCCTCCTATAGAGGGAATTATCAACGAAACGATTGTTCCTGAAGTCAATGTCATTTATTTATAAAGCTTAATATTAATGTACTACGTCGCACCCTGATGGTACAGCAGAGGGGTGTTATATCACTAATTATATAGCTGTAGAAGGAAAAAAAACAAACGTTAGCATGCAGTTCTAAAAAGAAAGAAAAAATGCCGTTAAAATTAAGAGTGGATAATGAAGGGAACTTACCTGCCTGAAGATGAGGGTGTCCCTGGCTGTGGTGCTCATCGTCTTCCAGTTCCGGAATTGGAATGACGGCGACCTGTAGCAGTAGCTGGAAGTGGCCCACCAGCTCCCCCCTCCACCCACCCGCCCAGACACCAATAACCCCCCACCAATCAACGCTCTTATTGACATCGTCGCTCACAAAAATTGTGCAGTTTCCTGCAGTTCTTGAAACGTGGCTTTGCAAGATTGGTGCTTGTCTCCCGAGGCCCGGGGGGGCCGACCTCTCTTCTCTTGACTCTGGAGGAAGACTCTGCCACTGCGGCCACTTACGTGGGGAATCAAAATTGGTGTCTGGCAACAGGTCTACATTCAGCGTTGAATATTAATTGATAGTTCTGTTGTCAAGAGGATACAAGGGAATACGATATCCGTATAAGAAATGTGTAAATTCACCACTAAGAAAGCATTTTACCTTTATTCTTGACTTTTTATTGGATTGTTTGAATGAAAAGGATTCGTCTGCACTGGCTGTTAAGTTCCCCTCCCCTTTTTCATTGGTTATTTAGATTTCATGATATAACCATAGAAAAGCCGTATTGGGAAATGATTGATTATAACAGTTTGGATTCTATTTAGTCCATGGCTGGTGTTGCCATAGTGTGTGAGAGTGTAGGGGGCGGGCTAGGCCAGGTAGGGAGGGAGGGCCGCTCCAGGGAACACCAGTATTTGTAAACACACACCTAGGCCACCACAGTCACAGTTTCTCATCAAATGTTTCCCTTCTATGCGATAACTCCCACGCCTCTGTCACATAGTGGTGAAATGTAGGTATTTTTCGAGTTCATTTGTAACCCTTTAGAGTAATTTTTGCAAGCAAATAGGGGTAGAAAGATAGGAATTTGCTGGTATTGGGTATAGGAGCGTGGTGGCCTATGACAATGACCAGCTGATCGGTGGCAGCGTTGCCTCTCCTCACAACACAACAACTACGCAGGCTCACTACTATCATGGAGCACCTACACATTTACCCTCTCGCACCTTTTGTATGCCCTCGGGTAAGTTGGGGCTAAATGATTGATCCCACATTGGGTCGAGACGTTTGGATTGGGTTACTACCAGTGCCTATGTGGGTGGCAAGTGTGGGTTTGTGGTAAAAATAAGCTTTGGGGAGATGTGACTGAGGAGGGTCGGAGGAAGGTCGTGTTTAGCAGCAGCTGAGGCTCTTGGAGGCCCCCAATTCCGCAGCAACAAATTTTTCAACCTGTACTTTTAACAGTATAAACCCATTGATAACCTTGTAGTGTGATGTACAGTGTAGTTGTAATGCAGCTTTGGGGAAATGGGGCTCTGTAGAATGTAACGGCTAATAGAGAAGTTCAAACAAAGGAACGTTTTAGCTCGGTCATTATGTGTAGGTATATTTTGAAAGTTTCACGTAACTGACAAGGTGATTATCAAATACTGATAACGACCACTGACATGGTCACTTAGTGTTCAACTGTTGATGGGACCTTGGTATTTGTCAGTTTCAGGATATAAATATCTGCAAGCATAATACAGTACTGAATAGCTGAATTTAGTAAGAATCAATAATGTCATTGTAGACTGGCAATGGAATCATAATACTGGGATGTATTTGAGAATGTGTGTGGAGTCCAGAGATGCAAGTTTAATCCATTGCCATAATATTTTCTCATTTCATTGTGTACTTCAAGGTTATCAGTGAGTGGTAGTGTAGTACACACACACACAATGGGTTAAGGAACAAGACTTCATATGTTCTTGGAACAAAAGCAAGTTAGTGATGTTGAACTAGTTGCAGAGACAAGAGTACAGTATGTCGTTAAGCTTGGCAAGTCAGGCTATAAAGTTAAACAAGCATGTAACAAAAGCACACATTTACAAGCATACTTGTAGCAAATCATTTGCATTATCTACAGTAGGCAAATTTGGGATGCTTAGCTAAGAGTTTGAGTAATGTGTAATTTTGGATTATATACAACATACATACAAGAGTTCTTACATTCTTGTACAGCCACTAGCACGCATAGCATTTCAGGCAAGACCTTGATCCTAATTTTCCCCGGAATAAGACCCGCCAAATCGTTTAACGAACAGGTACCCATTCACTGCTGGGCGAACAGAGGTTACAGTTAAGGCTTGGCGCCCAGTAAATCCTTCCCAGCCAGAATACAAACCCAGGCCAAAGCGCTCACGAAACGCTAGGCGAGTGTGTTACCACTTCACCACCGGGACTGGTAATAGTTTATACTATTAAAGAAAAAAATTGTCAGCACACATAAAAGTTCCATTGATAATACTAAGCTGCTACCTAATGTTTTTAACAGTTGCTGATTTATATGGGTACTGTACTGTCAACATTTTCTTAACTTATGGGATTTTTCTTTAACAAATGTTGGGTCTTAAACATATTTGCAAAAAGATGGCATATTTCACCTTTTGTGTATGCATTGTTTTTAATTGTGTATTCTCATTGCCCTTCTATTGAAATTATTTTGCAAGCATAAATATTTGTATTTATTCCATGTGTTTTACATGACAAGTTGCATATTGTCTGTGGTTCATTATGCAATAAACTAGACACAATTGATTGTTAATGACATGACCAAAGTCAAATGTTAATGATGGTTAAAGTAATGATTCTTCCTTTTATAGGTGTGACTGATGCCGTAAAACCAGTTGCATTCCAAGTGATACTGTACCAGGTATTGAAAATCCAGTGTGTGTCTGGTCTTGCCCCAGCTAGAAAGGTATCACACTTGTGACAAGCTTTTAACTAGCTTCCCCATGAAAGGTAAGCAAATAAGGATTAAAGTATATGTATTTGGCTCTATCAAAACCTGTGTTAACATAAACTACATGGGCTTTATTGGGAGTTTAAACCATTTTTTCAAAGACCTACATGTTTTTAGTGAGCAAGTTGCAGTGATTCAGCCAGTAGTGGACACCACTGATATAGTTTCACTATCTCTTTAATCAATAATAGTCATTAAATCATTGCCCATGTTAAATAAAAACAAATAAACAATTTAAAGTTGCATACCAATGCATTATTCTTTCATTATTAGACAAAAATATGTACATAATTGATATTGATTATCCTGTTCAGTATATTAGGCTGTTACTAGCCACAAACTTGAAGAGTATCTTGCCATTTTTTATTAGTGTTTAGCAGTGAAGTAACATGTGTTGATCATAGTATCATAGATAATCAAAAAATATTAATTTAGTTACTGTATTTCAGTTTATATTTAATTTTATTGTTGCATAATCTAATTAGTAGGCTGTTTACATTTAAATCATTTTTATTCATTTAATTTGGGATGTACCACTATCATGAGTATTTACTGCATGCTGGCATAGCCTATTAGTCATTTTCTGTGCAAGCTTTGCTAATCATATATACGGAGGCATATTAATCACATCTTGGCTCCGATTTTAAAACATTGCAATTTTCCTGTTTTCTGTTAATAAGCACTGGATGTGAATGACCAGTAAAAAGGAGTGAATTACTGAGCTGTCAGATATCAAGGATTGTGCAATTTTCCTGTTTTCTGTTAATAAGCACTGGATGTGAATGACCAGTAAAAAGGAGTGAATTACTGAGCTGTCGGATATCAAGGATTGCTAGGGTAAAGTTGCTGGTCTCCATACGTTTGTTGACGTTCTTACCTCACTGTAGACTAAAAAAAAAATGAAAAATTTGATTTATTTCCAAACTCATTGAAGAAATTGAAAGGAGGGGGGGCATTGCTCTACAAAAGACATTGGATTCGGTAGTGTACATGCAAGACTTGTTGATATGCAGACTGTAGTGTACTTAAATTAAATGGTGGAAACCAGTGCTTTGTTGCACATCACAGCTTCTTTATGCTTAGGGCCAGTCCCCAGATGGGGAGACATATTGCTCATTTGTAAGGTAATTGTCATTTCTGTATAACCATGTATGTTGTGTTCTATAATTATACCATCTGTTAATTTCCATAGCACAGTATTTGATAAGTCATCTAATAACACTATAAAATACCTGGTTAACAAACGCTTGGCCCAGTGAGTATCTTTAGACTAGCATTCGTGGATGTCAAGAGACAGGCGCCAAAAATCCCAACATTCAGTAGTTTGATTTTTGGAGAACTGCTGAGCGCTAAGATCTGATATTAATATGTAAGACAGCATGGTGTGTTTGGCATGCATTGGTCTTGATTCCAATTAATTTTTAGGCTCTGAACTGTACTGTATAATACTTTGTTTTGGTGACCAGAGACTAGATACAGAGCTGACTTTGGTACCAATCACTGTGCTTCCTTTATTACCCATAATGTGCTCTTCTTGGTGTCTATCCAGATGTCTTTGTATATTTTAAGGATCATACATCATATTTAACACACAAGAACAAATTAAATATGATCCCCCCTTCCATAAAATTAACACTGGAAAAATGGACAGATAATTTTCACATTTCAGAACTATTTTGGAGTGTATTTAAAGAGCTACATAATATTCTGTAGTTTCATTTTTTTGCACTATCGAGTGTGCTATAGATATTTGGAGACAGGAGAGTTTACCTTAGTGCCTGCAGATTTCTTCTTAGCATTGACAAGTCTCTGTGTTGAGAATGATTGGAAGTTTACCTTTAAACACAGATTGGAATGTTTACATTTACATATAATTGGCATGAAATATAAATTAGTTTAAGATTATATTCTGAACAGCTGTGCAGCACTTAACTTTTGAAAGTAAGAATTTTGCAAGGTTTGTTTCTAATCTTCCTCTCCCCTTCGTCCCCATTATCCCTGCTGTATAGTGTTCATAACAGGGAGCCAGTATTTCAGTAGAGTAAATAATGTAGATGTTTACTAATGGGGCAGTATTAGAAGGCAATGTGTTTAACCTATACTGTTATTATTTATGTTACTAGACATGAATGGATTTTTCATAATTTAATTTTTCCTGTTTTTTTGTAAGGTAGATCAAGCACAGTATAGCCTTCCATCTCATTCACTGATCAATATGCTTATATTAATTGAAAATGAGCAGAGGCTTCCCCCATTTCATTAATGCATCATTATTATACACTATAAACAGAGCTGAATCATTGGATGTATGTCAGTGTGCTCACTCGTTTTCCAAAAGTCAGTTCCATTGCACATTATTTGCAATCGTATTTTTAGCATCTGTAACACCCCTTTTCTTTCATTAATTAAGGTTTTCATTAAATTTGCTCATCCTAGTTATTATTTTTATGCATTGCCATTTACTACAATTTCATCCATTATGCTTATGATGTGAACTCATTCTGTTGAGTCTTGTCCATTATCTTCGTTGACTTCTAAACTCGACTGAAACTTCTTTCACTTTTAACGTTTAATTATTTTAATTCACCTGTATTTCATAAATTATTTCTCTTTTGCATTCACTATTTTACCATTGGGCTAAAGGGCAGAGATCAGTTATTTATAATGGCAAAGATCATTCTTCATTTGTGCAGATTCTTGGCAAACCAAACACTCCATTCATCAGGGCCGTCTAGGTACCAGTTAGACGTTTACCTTCTTTCTATTTTTTCAACGTGCATTTTCTCACTATTACCCGTAACTATTTTAAATAACTATATATTTCATTTCATTCACTGAGGAGCTGTTACTTATTTGAACAGAACTTTTCAATTCATTGAGTTCCTTGCTTCACATGATAATGGCTTCAGAAAAGTCACTTCTGTTCACCTCTATTCTTGTGCTTCTGCCAAATCCTTGAATGAACTATGCTGTATGTTTTATTTTTTTCTTCGCCTGACTTGTCGGAATGGTATTATGCTGTGCATTTAAGCCATTCCAGAAGGTTTGCCTTACTTTTCCATAATTCTTTAATGGATTTTGCTTGATGGATTTATTTTTATAATGTAGTTCAGGATACAACACTTGTACATATGTACTTCTGTGGATATCATCTTATATAAATGAAGTTTTCATAGTTTTACAGTGTACTGTATATCAAGATTTTCAGAGCTAGACTGCACTTGGTTATTAAAGAATTATTAAATCATATTAAATTCCTTATTAATATTCTAACATTAGATGCAGTTGTTGATAGGCCTTTGAGTTCTCTTAATTCACTTTAATAATTGAGTCAGCAATGTATGGTACAGTAATAGGATAAATTTACCTTTAGGCAGTCACATCTGCCTGATGTGTTGCTTGCTGTCCTACCCCTTATTGTGATGGTCCAATCTGTTACTTTTTTCGCGGCTTCTGTCTACCATGATCTAGCCGCATCCATAACATTGGCACGTGATACTCATGCATGAAAGTGCGGAAGTTTGCTCTAGTGTTGTTTCGGATTTCATAACCTGCAGCTTAATATTTCTCAATATATTAAATTGTGTTCAAATTGTTTGTAGATGTTTTATTTTCGTATACAGTTTATATTCAATTTAATGAGTACAATACTCTTATGGGTTAAAAGAATGATGTGAAGATTGATTTGACTTTAATACATTAGTGTATTTCTAGGATAGGCTAATGCATTTTCCTCATAAAGTAAATTGACTTGTTGTAATGCAAACTTTTTAAAAACAAAAGTTGTAATCACTGCACTGTGATTGGAAAAAAAGGACTAGATATTATACAGAACAAACTTGCTCTTGTAAGGACTGGAATACTGTGTGGATGCAGTGTGGTGCTTGTGTATAATAATTCATTGTTGGTTGACAGCCAGCCAGTGTATACGTACATGTTAGGCCTGTATTGCAGTCGATCCCCCCTCCTGGTTAAACTACTGAAACTACCCAGGATGCAATCCCACAACAAGCCTACTAACTCCTGGGTACCTGTTTACTACTAGGTGAACAAAGGCATTAGGTAATAGGAAACACGCCCAACCATTTCAGTCCCACCTGGGATTCAAACCCAGAATTCCCAATGCGTCGAGAACAAACCTGATTGTACTATCTTGTAAGCAGTATAAAATATACAGTACTGTAATGTATTGAAGAGAACTTTACATAAACTACCACATTCACACCTGGATAAAAAAGAACTAATGTACTTTGTGTGTCTAGCATTACTCGGTGCAGTATTGTAATATATTTACTAATAAACTGTGAGGATTTTACTGTATAGTATTGTTATCAACTGGCTGTTGTTAAAGGTGTGTTGCTCAACACAAAAGTGTCTTGACCGAGTGATATACATACCATCTACAGTCTCGCGGTATCCTTCATAGAGACGTCTGTAATTCTTAACTGTATTCACAGTTTGGGACTAAAACTTTTTGATGAATGCCACTAATATACTTTTAAAGTAATTTTTGCCATCCCCACGCCCCCAGAAAAATTATCAACATTAGTAAATTTAAAGGAACTACTAGCATTTGCATAATTTATTGTATTTGTAACTTTACACAACATAATACAGTACAGTAGTTTAATGCCAATTACTATATTCCCAAAAATATACACATGCATGATACTGTTGCAATTAATCACTTGAGAGTTAATTATGGGAAAAAATTCAGTTTGTCTTTATGGAAACTGTCCTGCTATTATCACTTTGATAAGAAAATGCTGTACAGTATATTATTACAGTACTTTTAAATAGAAACTTAGTTACCTACAATGATAATGAAGCAAAATAGTTATCTACAATGATAATGAAGCTAATATAAAGATACATTAACTATACAAATACTGTGCGGTGTACTAATCATACTTCACACAGATGTGAATTTTGGGCTTTTGACCCGTATATGGCATGAGCTTCAAGATTAATCCATTTTTATTAGGTATATAGTAATAAAGGAGAATGGTCTTGCATGATTTGTATTCAGTGCCTTTAATAAATAGACTCTTAAGTAAATGGCATTTTGAGGGAAACTGATTAGTAAGGATTTGAAAAGGGTTATCACTCAAGAATGAATCTAATACTGTACATTCTTTATTGAAGGCAGGTGATGATACTGTTGGATATGGTTGAGTATGCTTACCTATTAACAATGAAACCAAGTCTGACCCTGTCCCCAACTTGAGGCATGTCTAGCCAGATGACCTTTCAAGCTGACTATTAGTTGATCTCTTTGAAAACTATTTACATGTCATCCCCTTGCCATTTGATGCCTTTGTTACAGGAAATTAAGGAATTTGTCATCTGATCATAGTGGAACTATTGCAAATATGTAACATTGTTTCACATGGACTAAGTGTTTTGACTATAGATCTAACTTTTATCACTTTTTCTCACAATTTCATTGTAAGCTGTGATTCTGTTAGTATGGTGCTGTAGTACATTCACAGAATCCTGATGGCCAGTCACTATTAAGTTTTGGAATCTAATAATAAATAAATTGTAAGTCAGTAATACAATAATCTATTACAAAGTCAGTAGAAGCCATGAGGATTCAAACCTGCACACTAGGTACTCCCAAGTACACATCTCAAACTAGTGAATCACTGAATCCCAGATTACATTACTTTCAGCAAATCATGGTTTAGTGGTTTAAGGCGTGTGCTTGGGAGTACCCACTGGGCAGGTTCAAGTCTTCCTCAAGGCAGCTCCTGATTTTCTCATTGATACTCGTGTTGTCATTTCTTTGTGCATAATCTAACACTGCACAGAAAATTTAAATGTACTGTATGACATGGTCAATACAGACTTGAATATGAATTCTTTTGGATTACTCAAGATCTGGTTTACCAGAATTTGAATTGCTGAGGTCTAAAGTACCACTAAACCAAGAAACACACAATTGTAATTGTTATACTGTACAGTGACACCTTGGTTTTCAAATTTAATCCATTCCCGGAGACGGCTCATAAACCAAAAATTCGTAACCGGAAACAAATTTTCCCATAATAAAATGTAAATTGAATTAATCCGTTCCACACTTCAAAAATATTGACTTCAAAATACATTTCATACATAAATACACACATTTTTTTACTATAGTATGTACAAGTTATAGCTTACCTTTATTGGTAACTCATGTTGGTGTATGGAAGATGGTGAGGAGGAGGATAGGTGTTATTGTTTGGATAGGAAGTCCCCTTCCATTATAACAGCAGTGATGACAGTGCTAGGGTACTCTCTCATGTTTTGCAGGCATACTACTGGGACCTAGTTGTGGCTCATTGCTTGCTTATCTTGCTAAGAATCTGTCTATAGACACGGGTTTTCCCTGTTTTAACACTTGTCTGTAGTGAGACATCACATTGTCTCACTATGAATGATCTCTTGTTTTTCCTTTACTGTCATCCTCGCAGCTATTTTCTTAGGTTGAACTTTACCACTGACATTCTTGGAACCCATGGTGAGATATATAATAAGAACGTCTACGTTCAGAAACCAAAAAAGCACAAATAATGATTCTTCACAAAGAATTCAAGCGCGGTCATCACTAGGTGGATGACACTGTTAAATCGAAGCATGCCACGGGCTTGGTCGACCCATATGTGTATCAACAAACTACATAAGGTGAGGCAAAGCTCGTAACCCGATTCAAATTTTACAAAGAAATTGAGCTCGTAACCTGAAAAAATTCGTAAAGAGGGACATTCGTATCCCGTGATTCCACTGTACTGTACTCCGTTTTAATTTTTTTAAGATTTATTCTAAATTAAAATAAGATTAATTATAATTTTATAGTGACATTTTTCTCAAAAGTATATTTGTCTACACAGCACAATGCCCAGCTTACCGGAGGCAGTAGATATGAAATATGGTGATGAATGTCCAGATGCACAAGTAACAGAAGTGGCCTGCGTGGCACTTACCCTTAAGCGGTCTGGTCGCCAGCGGCTTCCATCAGTACTCATTCTTTCTGAATGTGACATAGAAAAAGCTGGAGATGAGGAGGAAGTGGAGAGGAAATGTGAAGGAGTACGAGAACTAGACTTGTCGAGGAATAAACTCAAGGAATGGAAAGAGGTAAGGGATTTATTCTAGTTAAACTTTCTGCATATTTATTTTTAGGCAGTAGTGAATCATCTGTGAAACACCTGTTGCATTCAGTGCATATTAGAAAATAAATGCTATGAAAAGAGATGTAAGGGAAACAACTGGTAAATTGCAAGAATTATGGAGAATGTACTGATGTACTCTGGTTGGGTTAAACAAATGGATGTCAATAGACGAGTGAATTTGAGAGAGGAGGAAGCCTGAGATGGGAAGACATGGTGAGAGTTTGAAGAAAAGATTGAATGTTCACAGGTCACTAGATGTGATGGGAAACAAAACTAGGTGGCATTAGTTTGTGACAACATTGGTGTTTCTAACTGTATATAGCAACTCAGAAAGGGCACTTTATACCAAGTCTTATGAAGCATTGGAGTGCTGGTGTTTATGATTTGCTGGGGTGTGGAGTTCTCCACTCCATACCCTGTGGAGGTGTTGATTCTCCATCATATGAAGTGTGTAAGGTATAATGAATGGGTAGATGTAATTATTTAATGTCTTGTGTTCATTTTCCTATATGGCTCCCTTTTTCTCGCTGGGATGATGCCTCGCCGCCCTATGACAGTGGAATATAGAGTAATAATGATAATGATTGAGACTAAATCTGGGTAGGTCATGAACTCTTTGACTCAAGAGACCACACAAATGCTCGGCTCAGAAAGGAGCATTTCATTACTACTGACACCGTTTTGTTTTTCAAAAGCTAGTCTTTCACTTTCTATTATTTTTCTATTAATATGACTCAATGTTATTGATAAGAGATTTTACAGTGATCTAAAAAAAAAATTCTGATCTGGTTATCACTGATGTTTTGTAGGATTGTTGTCTGTGTTGTATTAATTCTTTATTTTTTTTCCTCAAACTTTGCCCATTAATTTCCTGCATTCATTTCCCTCAGGTATTCAAAATACTGCGGCACTTGCCTTCACTAGGCTTTCTTAATCTGAGTTATAATTCTTTTGAAGCCCCCATAACGGACCCTTCAGATGTTGTGAGCCTCACAAATTTAACTCGGCTTGTGCTCAATGGAACGTCACTCCCCTGGAAGGATGTCCATATTCTTCTTGAAAATGCTCCAAGGTAATTTTATCTATTACTGTATCTTGTGGGCAGTAGTGGAAAAGGTTACAAAAGTGCATCATGGGCTTAGGGTCTGAGCCCCAAAATTCATTTAGTTAAGCAAGTTACAATCTTGATAAGCTAGTAACTCGGTTTAATGTATATTGTTATAGCAACAATGGGTTTGAGAACAACCACATGATATGATATGGTCTTAATAAATGTATATGACGTATATGTGTGTGGTTAGCTAGTTTCATAATTTGATGTTTATCATACATAAACATTATCATGCTCCATCCAGTGGGCAGAGGTGGAAAGGTTAGTCACCCACATCTACTACCTACAATTAGTAAACTGGAGATATTTGGCTGAAATTCCTGGTATTAGAAGAGTTTAAATGAAATACATACACGTTTCTTGTACATTGATAGAGCGTTGTCTAAATTCACACACCTTTTCACACTCCATCAGATTACTTTACTTTTATTTTATGATTTGGGCTAAAATTAATTTCCTTTTATTGTTTTCCTTTCTTTTTTCTATGAAGGATATGTGTATTTTATAAGCATTGACTGATTACTTTCAGTTAAACAGTGACCTTATTCTTTTACTTCTTTCTTTCATATAACATAAATAGAGATAACTTATTTAACTAATAAGTGATCAGAGGGAATATTACTATGGTCTTGAAAGACTGAAGTTCAAGTTAGAGGATTTGGAAATAGAGCTGGTAGTCGACCAAACTTTACTTTAATGTAATTGACAAGGAAATGTTTCATTGAACTTAAATTACACTATATTGTGAGTACAGTACCACATTGAGAAATGAATTGAAGATCGGACATGATAAAACTGAACTGAAAAATACAGAATTCTCCAAAGACATAAAATACTGTAACTGACGTGTAAAGAGGAGTACATAATAATGGATAGTATTAGATGTGGTATAAAGGAGATTGATGAATACAGTACAGTAATAAGAAAAGTGTGTGCAATATCAGAGTTAATGGATGAAGAAGGTGACCATGTACCACGGCTGTGATGTATCGACCAGAGAGAAAGAAAAAGGTGCAGAGGACAAGATGGAATGCTAAGTAATGGAAGCTTGGAGATAAAAGATTTGCTCCATACCTTGTCTAAAGCTTTAGAAATATCCTGAGTTATGGTAACAGCATCACAATTGTCACAAAGGGAAGAGCATCATATATAAGTAGATCAAGACTTTGTGGAAACCATACTGATGTTCAGAAAGTTAAGTACTGTAGATGTTGAAGGAACTTCTCATTGAGGATGACCTAATCACTCTTGGGATTGTAGACATTAGACTCTAAAGCAATAGATAATTGTCGTGAGGATAAGAACGCCACCTTTTTTGGGGGACAAGTTGTACAAAATTACCTTAGAGTATAGAAGTTCTGGAAGACACTGTTGCAAATAAATACAGGTGCAAGTTCAAACTTAAATCCTTTTTAAGTATTAAAGCATTGAACTGAAAACTTTAGTATATTGTGGAGCTAAAATAAAATTTGGTAAATCGTATGCAAGAAGTAACCCGGAAATTAAAATAATACACAGTAAATCTATAATTCAGAAATGACTTACAGAAAACTGGTAACATTCTTTATACAGGAACTCATTGGGAATAAAAGGCTTTAATTATAATTCATTGAGAGAGATTCCAGGACCAGCAAATTGATACTGATATTTAGGAAATTAGTATAAAAATACAGACAGCTTTCCCTCTAAATATTTAAATTAAGGGCAGTAATGAAAGGAAAGTGCTAGATATTGACACCTTGACAGAGAAAAAGTTTGATAAAATGGATGGAAATTTGAGGTAGTTTTTGCCCACAAAATTATTTAAGATTTGGAAAATATTGCACGGGATAAAGGTGGAGAAATAGCCCTCCTGGCAAAAGATTCAATGAGTCAGAGGTGGTTTTTCAACTCTCAAACTTTGTACTGTATAAATTATTACAGAAAAGTTCCTGATCCCAGGTATAAAATGTAAAGCATTGAGTGTAATGAAACTCCATTTTTGGATGGGGCCTTAGTAACTCGCTGAGCTTAGCTCGGTGAAGAGTAGAGATGTTGTATACAAAATCGGAGAGCACTGTATGTGGATCAGTGGTGCACGGCTATTCAGTATCCTTCCAACAAATATTGGCGGAACAAAAGTGGTGGGTTAAACAAAAATTAGACAGGTTCCTGCTGGAAGTGCTTGACCAATTGGGTTGTAGTGGATATACGAGCCTGTAGTTATCTGAGCAACAGCCTTCTATTCTAGATGAAAGTATCATACGTATAGCCTGGCCCCAGGCTGGGTTTAGGAAGTAGAACAACTCCCAGAACCTACTCCAGGTTTTTTCCAGGTATGACCAAGCCAAAGCCAAACACATAGACCTCTGAAACCCATCCATTGCCAATCTGGAACCAGGAGGAGAATCTGGTTTACTTTGAGGCAAGAGGGTTCAGAGATTTACCCCTGGTTTAGAGATCACAGATCAACCACTAAACTGGGTAAAATCCACCAGAAAGCATAGGTGCAGCAAAACAAGGCAACTGAATTTCCATACTTGCTGTATAGTCATATTAAGAGTTGTCTGTACATCCATTTTTACCAGGTATTGAATTTCAAACTACATTCATCCCTTTGAGCTCTTGGTTTCACCGTGAGTTTGCAGCGGGTGTCATTGAGGGTCTACCCTGATGGAACCTGCATCTCAGTGAATGACTTCATGAAGCCTTGGGCTTGGTGCAGTGGTCTGCATTACACATTTTTCCTGATGTATAGTATTTTTCCCCTTGTGAAGATAATCTGACCCTTCATGCCTTGCCCAGTTCACTTTGGCAAGTGGGCCTTGCTCTGTTAAATACCTAGTGTTTTGCCCAAAAATAAAATCTTTAATATTTCTACATAGAATAATATCTACAGTACTGTAGCCTACAAGAGGTGCTAACAATACCTCCAGCAGGGTGAATCAAGGGATGCAGTTCAGATGTTCCCCATACCTACTTTATCTATTTTCTCATGCTATATTATTTAAATGTTTCTGATACAAATTTGGTACAGAGAGTCCATGTACATTGGGAATCTTCAGTATACTGCAGTGTATTGCTTAGAAGGTTTGTAGCTTCCCTGGAGCATTATGTAAAAGCTAGTAAGTGGCGAGATATTTAGCAACTTTATTTACTGTATTGTATAACTATTTCTTAATATTGTGTTTATAGGAAAACATGCTGTATTAGGTCTCTTAACATTTAATTGGTATGATAATATTGTGATTATTTATTTACATGTATTCATTATTTTTTATTTTTTTCCAGAGTAGAAGAATTGCATCTTTGTAAAAATGGATACCAGAAGGTAGAGACAACTTCAAAGCAGTATGCTTCAGTCAGTCGAGTCCACTTCAATAATAATCCCAGTACAGATTGGCCAGAGGTATTGTAATTCCTGTAGCATAACATTATCTGAAACAAATAAATTTGAAGATGCATGCTTGTATTAATAAAAGATATGAGGAAAACAAGCTGGGGCCTATAAAAGGAGGTTCATTTTTGTATTTTGTGTATCCTGTATTGCATTTTCACAAAGTGTTGAGCAGCAAAGATCTTAAACAGGTTTATACATTAAGCTTCGTATGCGTGATAAGTTTGTCCTGTACAATTCCGGGTCTGACTGGGCACCTTCCTTGCCTGAGACAAGAGGTGTGCTTAGTTTAACAGCTGGTCACTGAGAAATCTGTGGCTCTAACTGCACCTGTTTGCCCAACTCGGGCTTGTTGATTATGTTGTACAGTATTATAAACAAATTTCTTCTAATCCACTGGTCCTATGAAAATAAAATTGGGATCTAGTTAATGAGGAAGGAGATAAGGCCCAAATTTAAAAAAAATTTGGCTTTCACATTTACCCTGGTTCCTCCCTTCCCTTCATGAGCTTTGGTTCACCTTGGTTTGGCTCATGACTGAAAGGGTGCACCACCTGAGCCAGCAGCTCCTGGGGCTCCCACCTAGTGGCAGGGAAATGGAACTCCGTGTAAAACAACCTAACTACTGGGCATCTCATTTCCTGTTTACTTTTGCATTGGTGTTCTGTCTTCTCTACATTTTTGGTGGCTATTTCCTCGGATAGGGTGATCTAGCATCCTCTGCTCTCTGCGCCTCTGTGAGGGAACCAGGTTTTGATCTCTAGTCTTTGGTTGGCTATTAAGACTCATAAGGGTCATGGGTACGGAGCTATCTGGAGTGGCTAGCAACAGGGAGCCACCTTGGAACCACCAGAAAGAGGCATTTAATTAAATTCAGTGCTGTGTTTTTAATGTCAATATTAAGCCAAACTTATTTATGGTATGCTATGTGCCACAATTAAATACAGAGCTCTTATCAGCCAACTTTGGCATTGAAAATGTCTTCAGAATGCCATGAGGTTGTATCTGAATCTTTCTCATTTTCTTTCGTTAGGATTTCCTGCTGGATGTGCTCCCAAGAGACTGCAGGACATTGAAGCATGTCATAGGAGCACATTTTAACCTTTATGCAACTTTGTGCTTATATAAATCCCCCCTCCCATTACCTTCCTTTATCGGGCATCCAGCAAGGAGGCATACTTGCGAATGAAATTTTTTTTACTGTTGTTTAGTTATTACAATGGCTGGTGGCTTAAATGTTTCTGTGAATGTATTTATACGGGTCCGTCCAATGAGGAATATTTCTTGGAAAATTCAATAACACGGATGTTAGTAATATAGGTCGGGGGGGGGGCATGGGTATTGGTGAAATCTTGTCATTGTTGGTTATGATGACATGCATGTTGTTGAAATTCATAATAATCTAAAGATGAACTCAAATATCGAAGCGGTTCTCAACACAAAAGTTAATGTCAGTCTTTTTAAAGTAAAATATAATTTAAGGGTGATGATTGAAGATGAAGACATGTGGAGGGAATCATGAGCACACGATTCCTTCATGTTATGTCTGAAAGTATAATAAAATCTAGGAAAGGGGGAATGTTTACCACAAGAGATGGTTGAACTCTTTATTATAGATGTTAAGGACATAGAATGTATTGGTTAAATATAGCAGAGGAGTTCTAGGAAAATCACAGTGGTTAAAAAAGTGGTTTAACAAAGTGGCTATGACCTTAAAATGTCACAAATCAGCTTAATGAGCAAAAGGGAATTAGAAAACAGGTGTCAAGACGTCAATAATTTTGACAGCATATCCGTCAATAGACCCCTATATGACAGTGGTTTACATACTAGGCTCACATTTGAAGGATTTGGGTTCATTCCCCTGGGCAGAGCAGAAATGGTGGAGGCTCTTTTCCTTTCACTTGATGCCTCTGTTCACCTAGCAGGTAAATAAGGAAAGTACCTGGGAATTAGACAGTTGTAGTGGGTTGCATCTTTGGTTTAGGTCAGTAATTGGCCTATGGAGATCTTAATAAACACAAGTACAGACTTCGTGTCCCTGACAATGAGAATTATATGAATTTCGAGACATTGATTACTGGAGTGTTTTTATTTCATTGACTTGTTTTATGCCCATATTTTTTTTATTCAGCTCGTCAAATATTAGAAGAAATACTGTATTACAGCTAGATAGGTACAGTACATAAATAAATGAGTAGGGTTGATATTGACACACTACTGAACTTACATTTATTGAATGGTCACAATGTCTTCAATGGTAAAAGTTAATGCTATAAAATATATTGGATTGTTATTTTGTTGGTTAATATTGCTAAATATGCTTATTATAGATAAGGATTATAATATCCGAAATTGGTTTATAAAAATAGCTGAATGTTAATTTTCTTTTGAATGGCACTGAAATCATTATTTTTTTGCATATACATGAAGCTCTGCTTGTATAAATGAAATGCATTATTTCAGTTGCTTATTGCTTGAGAAATGAATTGTTTGCTTTAAATTAACTCCTTGAGCTTTGCAATATGATGCTATAAATCATTTCAGATTGAATCTCTCGGGCAGATGTTTCCGTACCTGGAAGTGTTGATCCTGGCAGAATGTCCACTGAGCACCCTGACCAAAGATGGACACTATCGTGAAAATTTCCCCAATCTCAAATACCTTTCCCTCAACAGCACAAAAATTTGCACCTGGGATTCAGTAGATCTAGTCAACAAGTTTCCTAAACTAACAGAGTTAAGACTACAGCAGTGTCCATTATATGAGGTAAGATGCAGACTTTGCTTTTAAATTTGTCATACTGTATATGTTTTGGCCAAGGAGAACCCAGATGATCCCAGACATGCCTTAGTAGATTGCACCACAACGTGGTTAAAAGAAGTGTATTGAAGTAAGGGTGAAGAGGTAGAACAGCTTGTTAATTGAGCCCGGGTGCATGAGGGGAATTGTGTAAAACCCCGGTTTGTGTCTTGGAGAGGCTGCGGGATCTGTGTGAGGGCAGTAGCACTCCCGGTTGCAATTTTTTTTAACCATGTTGTGGCACAATAGACTAAGACGCATCTGGGATCATCCCAGATGTAAGTTCGAACCCTCATCACTGCCTTTGTGAATTTGTTCATTTGACGTATCATGCTATCGTGATTTCTGTGTGCCTATTGGATTTCCTTCATCATAAAAACAGTTCAGTAATATTCACTTGTAATGCCATAGTTGAAATTGCTTTTTTTTTCCTACAGAGCTATAAAGATGAAGAGAGACGACAGCTAACAATTGCCAGACTCTGGAGAATTCAAAGATTAAATGGTGGGGCATTAATCACTCCAGAAGAGAGAGAAAATGCAGAACGAGCATTTATTAGATACTACATGAATGAAGACATGCGACCGAGTAGGTAATTGTAACTTGCATTGTGTTCTCTTTCCTCTTTTGTCATCTTTTTTTTTCTTCAGTGAATTGTACCATAATGTGGCTAGTGATTTGTATGGAGAGTTCAAAGGGTAGGCTAGAACTCCAATCGAATTGGCTGATGCCATGGTCTAATACATACATATCAGCCTGGTAAGCTCTGGGGAGCCTCCGGGCCTCACCCAGAAAATTTTTACTCTCGATTGAGAATCCTGGGTTTGAATTCCAGGCGGTACAGAAATGTTTTGGCACATTTTTTCCCCCCTAATGCCTCTGTTCTCCGAGAAGTAAACAGGTACCTGGGGGTTAGTCAACTGTTGTGGGGGCTGCATCTTGGGGAAAGGTCAGTACAGTAGTTCAATCTTGCGATGGGGGTGGGGGGGGGTGTCTCACCATATGCCTAAAGTATATACTTTACCATAAATAATTAATCCATTATCACACCACTATCATTGTATGATAAAACGGCTTCCATGGAACCAGAGCTGCAACTGGACACCCAACAATACTAGTATATGATTTATCTAGGAATTGATTAACTTAAAGTCCAGTACAGGCATACCTCAGAATAAGAGTTTAATCCGTTCCTGGAGACGTCTCGCCTTCCGAAAACTCGCATTCCGAAGTTAATTTCCCCATAAGAAATAAAGGGAAATGAATTAATCCGTTCCTGACTACTCCAAAAACCCCACATCAAACTAAATTTTTATACCTAATTTACCTAATTCATCTAAATAAACCTACAAAACTGTGTTCCAGTTATTACTTACCTTGCTGTCGAGTGCTGTAGGCGTATGGAAGATGGTGAGGAGGGGGGAGGAGGAGAGGAGTTACTGTTTGGAAGGGGAGTCCCCTTCCATAATCACATCACATAACCCCATGCCTTGTAACACTATGGATACCACTTCTCTTTCTAAATTTTTCAAACCAGCCCCTGCTTGCCTTAAACTCTTTCTTATCTGCATCACTCGTTGCAGGGGTATTCTTTAGAAGGTCTTCGTGCAACACCCTGGCTTTCTCACAAATAATGGCCTCCGAAACACTATCACCCCTCAACTCCTTGTCGTGTATCCAAATTAATAACAACTTTTCCACTTCTTCAAGTATTTGTGGTCTTTGTGCCGTTAATGTTCTTACTCCTTTTGCCACTTAAGCACCCATAATCTTATTTTTCTTCTTAAGTACTGTGTAGTGCATATTGTTGATGTGGCTTTGTTGTACTGCCTACAAAGTTCAACAACACGTGTACCGTTCTCATGCTTCCGAATGATCTCTTGTTTCTCCTCTATTGTCATCCTCACATGAGCTTTCTGGCCTTTATCCTTACCACTGGCTTTCTTGGGACCCATGGTGAGATATATAATAACAAATTGTATAGACAAATCACCAAAAATCCAACAAAACACTGAAAATCCGCGAGAAGAATTGATGTGGGGGTAGTCACTGAGCGCGAGACAATGGTAAACTGAGGGGCGGCGGGGCGGAGGGGCGACGATCGCCGAACCACCACGCGCTAGGTCGGCCTGTACGCGTATCAACAAACTCGCATCCCAAAGTAACCCTCGCCTTCTGAGACAAATTTTTGGAGTAAATACTGCTCGCCTTCCGAAAACCTCGCATACAGGGACAATCGCATTCCGAGGTACCACTGTAAATTGTGGACTTCGGGTACTCACAACTGACACTAAGCTTTGAAAAATCACCCCTTCAGAAACACACCATCCTTATAAAAGGCATGTACTATCACAATCATTGTTGTACTGTAGACTTTTAAGGGGCTCTAAGTAATTGCTTAATATATTGTCACAATCTGTACACTTCTGCAGATATGAAGAGCTTGTTCACCAGCATGGAGAGTTAGATCCCTTGGTGGAAGTCAGTCTTCAGCCTGAGAAAGAAGTACAAGTAACAATCCGGTTTGGTGAAGTAACCATACAAAAGGTTATAAGTGTTTACTCTAGAGTCTTGGATTTGAAGAAGGAACTTGAGCCAAAGGTAAGGTGTTTAGTTCCTTCAGTTTGACAGCCCATGTTTTAGTGAATTTTAGGTTAACATTAAACAACTATCCACTATTATCAAAATTGTCACCTCGATTTTACATAAAAAGAATCATAATTTGTTAATATAGAATGATACATTTGCATACAAAAAGTAAGGGAAAAAGGGGGAATAAAAAGTATTTTCTGGTATCATGAGCTGTAGGATAAAGCCATGTGGTGGGGTCAGTGTCAACTATGTGTCAATCATAGGGTCAACAATAGTGTCGGCTAGTAGCTAGAATTTACTTACGCACTTAATATCTGTTAGATGAAGGACCTGCCCGAAACGCTGTGCGTACTAGTGGCTTTACAAGAATGTAAACACACCGTGCTATGTACTGTCACAAACCCATTGTACCTTCTTGTAAGTAAGTATATTAATAAGTAAATAAATAAATGAACTGATGTGACATATGAGAGGACTGCCAATTGTGGGGGAGAAAAAGACTCAAATGTTCAACTTCAATTCACTTATTAGTTTATACAATGTAGTGTGTTTGGCTCAACACTACATTGTATATCACTACATCTTGATCTCGTTATTGTTGAATAACTCGGTTTATGTACACATTGTCAAAATAGTGATTGAGTGCTGTATATAGGCCTACACTGTAATATATGCACCTATATTACATGTAAACATGTTTACTGATATAGCTGATAGGAAGTGTCTTGCAATCCCACTCCTTTGCTGTAATTGTCATCCAGGCATTGGTTTGAACACTGGTGATAGTGGAAATTGCACTTGATAACAACAAGCCCATGGTATATAACCTCATTACATAGTATGTAGTTATATAATGATAACGACAACTTTTCATTCACCTTGGTTAACCCCATTACATCTATATAGATGTACAGTATTATAACCATATTTACATCACTGGTATAGAAACTTGGCAATAATACAACAAATTTTGCGAATGACAATGATCACAGTGGCCCAGGAGATCAAATGATGTTGACTGCATTTTTGGGATTAAAGATTAATGTGAAACATCGCATAATTCAGATGAGTCTTTGATACGTTAATCATCTTTGATACCTTGATCCACATAAGAACTCACTTGAGGGGGAGGGGGGGAAACATTTTGTAGAATCTTTATAACATTACCCATCCCTCAAAGTGTTATAAACTTGAATGACTACCCACCTTGTGATGACTCCTTTCATCGACACCCCTGTGGCCCAATGTCTGCCTAGGCTTTGAGTTTTGGCAGTTAAACTTGCTTGCTCAGAAACAAGAATGGATGTAAAGAATAATAGTAGCCTCAGTTAACACATAATTAAAAGTAGAAAGAATAATACAGGTAGAATTATCAAACACAATAGTAAGGATTGTTTCACACATCTAGGCTTCAAACTTATTCAGCCAGAATGAGTTTTACATCTCCAGCTTCTACACACATTCAGAATAAGTTGCATACTCTTTCTTGGTCTATGGTGAATTTACAGAACTAAATAGAGTTTAACCTTGGTGCCTGATGCATATTCAAAATGTAAATTGTAAAATTTGAAATCTAACATCTTCAGTGCACTTTCTGTGGGGAGCCCCATCGGCTCCCTGGAGCTATTCATCTCTGTACTCCCGGGAGAATACTCCCTGGAGTTTTCATCTCTGTACTATAAAATGGACATGAATTCACTTGAACAAGTACAGAGAAGAAAGACGAAAGTTAATCTTGGGAATTGGAAGCCTCCCTAATGAAGAGATGTAAAAAGCTCAATTCACATTCCCTAGAAGGATGAGGATGTGATGTGACTGAAGTATTTAACTCCCCTGCACTGTACACCTGTTTCACGTGACAAATTCCTGGAGCAGTTGTTAATGAATTAACATTAACTGAAAATGTAAAAAAAACAAGAAAATGTCAATATTACAAAATTCAACTACAGTACAGGTATTTTCATTTCAAATCAGAGTGAAAAAACATTAAAAACTTAAATATTCCAAAATCCAAAAACATTTTGCACTACCCATCGAGTGCCTTAAGGCACTATGCACAATGTTTTATTTATTTATTTATATTTATTTATTTATTTATTTATTTATATACAAGAAGGTACATTGGGGGTTAACAAAGAACATAGAAATTAAGTTGATTTAACATTCTTGTAAAGCCACTAGCACGCATAGCGTTTCTGGCATAGCGTAGTGGTTAAAAGTATAACTAACGGGATATAAATCGGGTATTAAATATATCGGCATAAAATATAACACGACACAGTGGGAGTATAAATTGGTTAAGTTTAGATCCAGAAAGATCTGGGTACTGGTTTTGAAATGGTTCTTGATTTATGGAATAAATTTCCGAGAAACATAATAGGTGTTTCATCGGTGGGTTATAAATATATCTGAATTAGTTTTGATAGATATAATTAAGAGCTTTTCTGAATGATCAAATTGGCCTTCTGCAGTTCTCTTCTTATTTTTTATGTTTTTTATGGAAAGGTTTTTATGTTCTCATGTACTGAGTGAAGATATACCGTCTTTGCCAGGGACATTATCAAGAAATGGAGGCCATGATGCCTAATGTCTGTTTGCTAAGATTTGCTCTATGTAAATTTTTCTTTTAAAGCTATATTGTATTTAAAAAAAATTTTTTTTATTTATTTACAGTTTGGGTTGTCGCCCAGTAAAATGCGGCTCTTTTACCACGACAAAGGTTTGGATTCTGGTGTTGCCTATGCACCTGAGGAACTCAAAATTAACAGCAAGCAATTGTACACCATCAATATCCATTCTGGGGATGAATTCATTGTTGAGCCCAAGGTTATTAAGCCATGAGATATGACAGCAAACAAAACTGAGGTATTTTTGTTAGCAATTTCACTCAGAAATCCTACATGCATATGTGAATGAAGTGTCTTAAACAGAAGCCTGTGCTTTACTGTTATTTAACAGGTCAAGTTATGCCGTGCAAGATCCTTTTTTTTTCCTTTATGTTGGGTATGTGTGCATTTACACCATTGTGTGTGTTACCTAGTAGCCAGAGTATTTTGTTTTTCTAACAGCTGTACAAAAATTGGTCTGCATAACAGAATTTTATTGAATGTAGCAGTTACTAATATATTTATGCCTAGTTTTACTTATGTTAGGCAGTTAAGGGAAAATAGGCATATTTAGGTTAGGCCAAGTTGCTAAGATCATTTTTTGTTCAAATTACAAATTTTGCATATATTTAATAAGGTGATTATATTTATAAATATTTTAAAGGAAATTTGGCTTAAGCATCTCAGACAATTAAACATGACATACGTAATATAAAACACACACCCACACACCGAAAATAGCCAATATAATCACCAGGTACAAAATCAGGATGGCAATTAACAAAATTTACAAGTAGGAATTTTGTAAACTTGCAACTTTCAAGAACACGCAACCATGGGCACACACTAAGAAAACAAAGGTGCTAAAAAATATATTAGTTTTCATTTTGCCAACAGAGTTGTTAACAGCTGCAATGATTTAGACGAGAGGGGGTTGTGAAGGCCAAAACAATCTGGAGCTTTGACGTGTATGACAGACTATAGGGAAGATGGGACGCCACAAGTATAGCGCTCATCCTATAACTACCCTTAGGCAATTACACACAAAATCACAAACATGATTTACTTAATGCAGAATAATCACATAAGAAATTAAAAAAAGGTTTATTCAGATCTGTTTTTCATCTTCAGGGAAATACTTTACTGAAAATGTCACAAACCAATGTGCTAGAAACTTTAGTATTTAATGTTTGTTGAAGATCCTTGTACATACATACACATGCACATACATACTCATGTGCAAACACATGCTAACACAGAGGACATGATGGCATTCCTGACAAACAGAAGATTTATATAGAGCTAGCTCTAGCCTTACTTACTGTCTAGAAATATGAAAGCCATGGTCAAGAAAATTTGGAAGAGAAGAGCAAATATAATGGCAGGAAATTTAACTGAACAGTAATAAGTGCATAAGAGTATTGTGCAATCCAATTATTTTACAAATGCTTAGAGGAAATAGCTGTTCAAACTCCTGATATCAAACTGAAAAAGAATGTGGAGCTACTCATGGTAACATTACAAGGAAGTATGTAGTGAGGTTAGTAAAAAAAAAATTACACGAGGTCCTTACAATGAAAGACAGTTTTCAAAACTAGGTAAAAAATATCATAGTCCATAATACTGTAGCTCATTGAGTAAGCAAAAAAAGAGCAAAGGAGGCACTTGAATGAACAAAGGCAATTTAAATAGACAAGATCTCACTATAGGTGCTAAAGGAGGAGGAGGGCTGTAGCCTTAAGAAAAAATTAATGAGAAACTATAACAATTCCCCGGTAACGAGAGAGATCCATACCAACTGGGAAAACAACAAAGTGTAATGCTAATATTCAAGCAAGGAGAAAGCCATACACTACAGACCAGTACTGTATCCACGATTTGCTTATCCACAATGTGATAGAGAAAAATATTAAGAAAAAGTATAATGGATCACTTGGAAAGCATAGGCTTTGACATGTAACACACATGTAGATTTGTGACAATATAAGTTAACCAACTTAAGTTACCATTATTAGAATTGAACAATATGATGGAGATCAATCAGGATAGGTAAGGATGTCTGCATATTCTTAGACTACTAGAAGGTTTTTTGATGTTATGCTCTACAGGTCCTACAATATAGGGAAATGGTGTGTGAGAGTGGGCAGTCCACTTGGAAAAAAAGGCCATTTAGTCCCTCTGCATCCAAAAAGTATGTCTGGAAAACCTTCTGGAGAGAAAATTTGCCTTAGTCTAATGTCAGAAATATAAGGATGCATTCCAGAGACCTCTAAAGATCCATTTTTTCAACATTTATAATTTTTTTTTGGCTTATGTAAACTTTACTTTTTGAAGTAAACTCTAACCACTTACCAGCTAGGAATACAGTGTGTTTAAAGTACTTTATAGTTTAGATTTAGCACTCACAAATTATGTAGATAACATTGGCTTAATTGAATGTGTTTATATTGTTGGATTGGTGGTTTGTGATGGGTCACCAGGATCGGGCTTGTCCTCCAATTTGTCATTAACAAGAAAGTTTCCAGTGGTGGGCTATTTATTATCAAGATAGCTGGATTTTCTCACCAGGTTAGTGTGCTGGCTGACGAGAAAAGCAAATGTATTGAACTATTTGAGATACACACTGAAATCACAATGATATATGACATTATTGTGATTTCTGTGTGTATTGAAGTAGTTAGAGGTAGAACTATTTGGTTGACAGCCAGTGTGCTTGGGGGGAATTGTGTGAAACCCTGGTTAGGCTTCACTGGAAGCCTCGGGATCCTCGTGGGGGGCACTAGCACTCCAGGTTGCAATTCTTTTACCATGTCGTGGTACAGTTGACTAGAGTGCGTCTGGGAACATCCGGCGCATAGGTTCGAACCCTCAATCAAGGCCCTTATGGATTTGTTCATTTGAGATATCTATAAGAGTTAGGCTGACTGCAGGTAATGGGGTTGGTGGACAAATTGATGTATGGTTAGCTGGTTTGTCTTTGTTTCTCCCTGTAGATCTTGTAGAAAAGTCACAACTGCTATACCTCTCCCAGTCTGTAATTGCTGCTTATAATTTGTCATGTATATTGCTACAGTATCTGGATTACTTGGGTTGTGTGGTCATCCTAACACTGCCATGGCAATGTAAGTTCCATCTTGTTGTGTTAGCTGCACTAAGTCCCACATCTAACTCCATACACAGAACATTATGTAAATAGGATGTGTTTTTCAAGCGCACATCTCTATCTCCTCGTCACTCAGGATTACACTCTCTTGACCAATATTCACAACATCCAGCATGGCTGGCCACCACCACGGTTCTCATGGGTGGGAATGGTGGAAGGGCTGTAGCGACTTTCCTACTGTTACAAGGAACTCTTGAAACCTGAGACAAACAGAATGAAAGGTCAAATATAAATTGCAAAAGAATGAAAAAAAGGCAAAATGAACACCATGGGGAGAGAGAGTTTATATATAAATAATATATATATATATATATATATATATATATATATATATATATATATATATATATATATATATATATATATATATATATATATATATATATATATATATATATATATATATATATATATATATATATATATATATATATATATATATATATATATATATATATATATATATATATATATATATATATATATATATATATATATATGTCATACCTAGTAGCCAGAACTCACTTCTCAGCCTACTATATAAGGCCCGATTTGCCTAATAAGCCAAGTTTTCCTGAATTAATATATTTTCTCTATTTTATTCTTATGAAATGATAAAGCTACCCATTTCATTATGTATGAGGTCAATTGTTTTTTATTGGAGATAAAATTAAAGTAGATATATGACCGAACCTAACCAACCCTACCTAACCTAACCTAACCTATCTTTATAGGTTACGTTAGGTTAGGTAGCCGAAAAAGTTAAGTTAGGTTAGGTTAGGTAGGTTAGGTAGTCGAAAAACAATTATTTCATGAAAACTTGGCTTATTAGGCAAATCGGGCCTTGCATAGTAGGCTAGAAGTGCGTTCTGGCTATAGGTATATATAGATATATATAGATTATATATATATATATATATATATATCTATATATAAATAAAAATGGAAGTTATTTGGAAGGTTGTGTGCCAGAATCACTGCAATATGACATTTCTCTAATACAATATATAAAAATGGAACACCATAAGTATAGTTTTATGTAATTACAAGTGGGTAACAGCACATGTGTAAAGGCACATATATATGCAGTTTTTATTTCGTTTTTTAATACTGTACTGTATGTATACAGTAGGCACATTAAAGAATTCTTGTATATTATTGTGAGATGTTTAAATAGGTTTGTGTTGCAGGCAGCTAGCCCAGTTCCCCTATGGTGGAATGCTTTCTCACGAACTAATATTATAATAAATGGCTTTATTGTTACTACATAAAAGATTACACGTTTGAGTGCCTATGCCTCTTACTCATGATATAAACGTACTATTTGATGGATTCCGTCATGCTAGGCAGTTGTATAACTAATGTTGACAACGTGCAGGTATTGATTAGTGATATTACCCACATCACTTTCTTTTCTGTTCAGAAATAATTTTAATATGAAATATGTGTAAGCAAATGTGACTTTGCCATATTTGATATTAAATTGTTGCTTTTACTGACTTCCATCAGTTATTGAAATTGCAGCTTAAACCCAGTAGATTACCTGCCAGAGCTGTGATCATATGGTATTTTATGCCCGTGTCAGCACTATTCTTTGTCCTGATGGTGAATTTACATCATTCACAAAATCATTTGGATCAGCAATATAGCATCATTCTGTTGCTGTTTATCCCAGATTTTAAACTTGATACTTTCTGTGATTGATACCGGTAGCCCTAAAGTCTTCATTGACGTAATGTGGATTTACATTAACATTGGGCCAGCAAATTCTATCTACTGTTACTGCAAAATTTTTTACTTCAAAATATTTCCACTAAACTTTAATAAAAGATGGAAGACTGTTAAATATATTTTATAATTTAAAAGTAAGTCTTATCCTGCAGTATGTATATGTCGGAATGCAGGTGTGTGTATATGCTGCTTGTAATGTGCAGTATGCATGTATGGTATATATTCTACTGGACAGTATAGTAAATCAGGCCCATATGAATGTACAATTCATTTCTTATGTATATTTTGTGGTTATACAAACATGTGATGTTAGGAGATATAGAGGGTACAAGAGAAATTAGGGCTCATTAAGATTAGCAATAATGTGCAGACAGCGAGTCTCAATAGCATGGCCGAAATATGATGTCCAAGCCACACGTCGGAAAATGAAGAAACGATGATTATAAAGTCGTGTAATGGAAAGAGTATACAATATATGGGGAGTGAGTGAGATGAATGTGATACAGTAATGGTCCAGAATGGACGAAAATGTCGTCATTTCTTCATTTTCTGATGTGTGCTTTTGACATCATTCGCAATAATACCTTTATAGAAAAAAAAATTAAATACTGTGTCAAACATAATTAAAATTATTCATCTACTGTTTTCATGCCATTAATATATTTGAGTTTCTTTAAGAGAATGTAATGGCAGCAAATTATAAGTGCTTGTACTAACAAAAAACTTGAGTTTGCTTTATTTACTAAAGGAATTATCATGTAGTATGTTAATAGGTTAAAAGGCATGTAAACAGAAGTACTGTACACTTTTTTTCAATGAAAATAATATATATTAGTGTGATAGTCAGTACTAAATGTTGGCTTGAGTTAGTCATAATACCAAGCATGGTGAGTGCTGTGGCCTCTTGCTCATGTACATGTGTTAGCCATAATACCAAGCATGGTGAGTGCTGTGGCCTCTTGCTCATGTGTTAGCCATAATACCAAGCATGGTGAGTGCTGTGGCCTCTTGCTCATGTACATGTGTTAGCCATAACACCAAGCATGGTGAGTACTGTGGCCTCTTGCTCATGTACATGTGTTAGCCATAACACCAAGCATGGTGAGTGCTGTGGCCTCTTGCTCATGTACATGACGTCTTACACTGCTAGTTTTGCTTGATCTCAATTGTGTGTGTACTTACTTTTAACATTTGAAAAGTTAATATTTTTATATTCATTATATTTGTAATATCTTATTTCAGGGATAAAAATGAGAAGTCTAAATATGAATACAGTAGATGTATTTATCACGAAGCTCTTAAATGTACACACACTTTGCATGAGTCTTAAAGGTAATAAACTTAAGAATGCTAGAATCACACAAAAATGTTAGTTTTGTGTTAATCACAAACCTGTGTTATAGAGGGCACTGTGTTGAACTGTCAAAAGGTAGTGTTGTTTAAAACTAACATTAAAGGTTTGTATTCTTATTCTATAATCGCATTTCCAGTTTTCCAAACAGTATGTTTTACCCTCGAGTGCCAATGGTAGTTTGTGATTATGAAGACGTGATTTGTATGCTTGAGATTTCTTTTTGTTTTTCTTAAATTTT